TGGGTTCTCCAGGCGTCTCATAGCTCCAGTACCCACAGGCCTATCAGCCCCCAGCCGTGGCCTCCTCTCTGTTCCCTCTCTGAGGCCCTAACTCCCTCAGGTAGTACTACAGTGGATTGAGCTACAGGCCCTGGCTGATGATCTGGGGGACTGGGGAAAGTGTTCCAGGACATGTCAGGTCTTGGCTCAAAGTCAATTCCCCAGAGGCCAAGGAATAACCCCCAAGCTCCTTTCACATGAGGCTCCACAGTGGCCCCACCTCAGCAAGGCTGCAGTCTTGGGCATTCACAGTCAGGCAACCAGCTGAAGAACCTCAGTTAGGCAGAGTCCTGCTGGTAGCTGGGGCTTGACCTTCATGATCCCGAAACCCCTAGCCTGCAGTGGAATGAGAAACCCAGTATCCTAGAGGGAGAGGGGTCCCAAAGTCTTATGCCAGGTGTACCCTTCCACATACCACCTCCCCTAACATGCTGCGAGGCACTCCTTTTAGGAGGACGCCAATGCAGTGCTCCTTCATGATCACTTCCATGCAGAAGTAAGTGTGGTGAGAAGAGGGAAACTTCATCCTGCTGCACGTTCCCGGGACGGCTGAGTTCTGCCACCTGCCTGGCTAAGAAGGAGAAAGGGGAGAGACTCAAGGGACCATTTCATCTAGATGGGTGGAGGTGGTCTGCTAGCTGGGTGAAGCATGCTTTTCTTCTTCTCAGCTCTCCCGCTGAGACACCTTGTGGCACCAGGGTGACATCAATCTGACGCGGAAACGCCACCTCTTCCCCAGACACAATCTCCACAGCCTGACATGCAATTCCATCATGTAGTTAAGCAGGACTTCATGTTGTGTGATCCGGGCTGACTTCTGGGTGTGCACGTTGGGTTTTTGGCATGAGCCTGCTGGAAACAGGCATGGGGAGTGGCGATGGTTTCATGGCTGGCATGGCCATGCAGACTCCCCTTCCTCCAGGGACTTTCCAAGAGAAAAGTGCCCTTCAACAGTCTGCTGTGTGTGAAGCGTACTTGGCGCTGTTATTCTCCATTGTTAGTGATGATCTTGGCTCCCCGTCCCTACCATGTGCTCTTGCGGCACCTGCAAACAAGCTGCCCTCCTATCTATAGGAGCCTGACCTTGGTGTCCCTCCTGTTTTCCATCCCCTATCTTCTGGCTGACCCTGGGCAGCTCTGGCCTGGCCCCACCCCATCTTGCCTTGGGAAGCCTAACACCCAGCCCCAGCTGCCAGCCATCCGGAACAGGCAGCTGCAAGGTTTAGGATCTGGCCCAGAAACTGGGGATGCCCTGGGGTCTGGGGTGTTCATGTAGCCCAGCTCCAAGAGAAGAATGTTCAGAGTCCTTTGCTGGCTGAGGCCAGAGCCAGGGCCAGTCTGTGCCCTCTGATCCATCTGCTGCCACTTGGTGTCGGCCTCCTCCCTGGCCTCCACCTGGACCACCGCCATTATGTTGTCCACAACCAGCACTGCATCCTCCCTCAAGGCCGCCTCCTCCCTCTGCACCACTGCCGCGCTCTCCTGCCTCAAGGCTGACCACGGGGGCCCTCCTCCAGAGCTCCCACAGTCCACGGCCTACTCCTTCCTCCCCACACCTCTGCAACATCTGGCCTCTGGGGGCTGCTCCCCTGGAGGACCGCGGGCGTCTCCTGCTGACTATCCTTTGCCACACCTACGTGGACACAGTGCTTCTGGTAAGCCCCACCGGGCCCGCAGCCTGCCTTACCCGCTGCGGGCCCTGGGCCGCTGCAGGGTCACTGGCGTACAGGATTCTAGGGGCCATAGGCAGAAGTCCTGGTCTTGCGGAGCCCTGCCAGCAGACATTGCGGCCGCAACTGCGCTTGCGGGAGCCTCTGGGTCAGTAAGGCAGCACGGCACAGCGTCCACAAAGGCCATCGATGGGCATCCCTGGCTGCTGGCCTCCAGTGTACCCAGGGCACTGTAGGAGAGGTCCTTCGGAATGCTCAGGGAGAAAGCATGATACTGGGAGCCTGTATTTGCTAGACCTGCAGGAGTCCCTGCAAGGGTTTTGTCCTCAAGAGCAGGGGAATTCCTGTACTTCTGTAATAGAAGGCGACTTTCCTCCCACGTTCCCGCCCGACTCCACTGTGCCTAAGCCGCCCAAGCACCCGGCGCTGGTCCCTCTCTCTACACACTAGATCGGCAATTCTCAGTAATATCTACCTGGTCAACCAACCGAAGAGAGATGTTTCATGTGTTCACTGTGGGTCAATGGCTTACAACAGTCAGCATGCCAGTTAGGGTGCAGGACTTCCAAGCACCCAATTTCAAAGTGCACACTGCCGGTGCCACCTGATAGAAGCTCTGATGGCTTCTCGCAGGAGTCTTTCCCCGGGAGGCTGGAACTGCAGGCCTCCCGGATGCGGGAAACCCCGGAACACGCCCACCACCCACGCACTGATAAGTCGCGGAGAGTGAAGCCTGTTCCGGCACTTCCGGCGCCCTTGGCGTAAAGTGCGGATGTGGCATCGTACGCCCCAGTCGGCCAACCGTCGTCTTGAAGCCAAGTGCGTGTGCCGTGAGGGCCCCGGAACCCAGAGGCTGTTTGTGCTACTCAAAAGCATCTTTATTTTTTGTTTCTCTGCTCAGGTTGGTCTCTCGGCAAACATACAAAGACAGCGAGCTTTTTGGGTGTTGTCTGTAAAAGCGGATGGGTTTTCAATGTGTGGGTGTTGAATTATGGGAGGAGAAAGTAGGGAAAGAAATCGCTAGTGTTATTAAGGAACTCATTTTTATGAATTCATTGTCTGTTTCTTGAGGATTCTTCCCTTTACCGTCGGCCGTGTCTGACCGGTGGGTAAGTTGTGGGACAGCGAGCTAGGGCCCCGTTGTTTTCATGTTCACTTTTTATTATAGCGGTTTTTCTTTGTGAATGTGGTCATAATTTAAATATACAGGCGGCCGGGCGCGGTGGCTCAAGCCTGTAATCCCAGCACTTTGGGAGGCCGAGACGGGCGGATCACGAGGTCAGGAGATCGAGACCATCCTGGCTAACCCGGTGAAACCCCGTCTCTACTAAAAAATACAAAAAACTAGCCGGGCGAGGTGGCGGGCGCCTGTAGTCCCAGCTACTCGGGAGGCTGAGGCAGGAGAATGGCGTGAACCCGGGAGGCGGAGCTTGCAGTGAGCTGAGATCCGGCCACTGCACTCCAGCCCGGGGAACAGAGCGAGACTCCGTCTCAAAAAAATAAATAATAAAATAATAAAAATAAATAAATAAATAAATAAATAAATATACAGGCAATATACTTTACCACTGTGATTAAAACCTTGTCCTTTTACTCAGCACGTGTCACATGTCTGATTTGCCTGGCAGGAATCAACTTTGGAGGTAAATTGCGTTACTTTAGTGTATGTAGAAGTCTGAGGCCATAAATAATCACAGTTCAAATTTGTGTCTGTAAAGCCTTGAAATGTCTGCCTTCTTGTAAGACAGTATTGGTAGTGTTTCCTGTATCTCTGGTATGGTAAATACTTTAAACCGGGTAGGTGAGTGTAATCCAGATAAATGGCGATAGATAGCCTAAAATGGAAACGAAATAATCGCACTCAAGTTATTTTATTAACCTAGCACGCCGATGTACTCTGGTAATCCTGGCATTTTGAGAAGTCAAGGTGGGAGGGTGGCTTGTAGTCAGGAGATGGAGACCAGCCTGTGTAACATAATGAGCTCCTTTAATCTGTTGCCATTTTGGCACCAAGGACTGGTTTAGTGGAAGGTGATTTTTCCCCAGACAAGGGGTGGGTAGGGTGAGAAGGCTGAGCGCTGGACTCGTCGGGGTGGATGGTGGGCATCAGGGCCCCAGTGGGTACGGGAAGTGGCGGGGCTTCGGGTCAGAGCAGTGTGACGGGGGTGGGGATTGGGCAGCCAATCTGTGAGGGGGACAGGGCATGGCAGCGGGAGGATAGGTGGGATGGTTTCCAGATGAAGCTGTTCCACCTTAGGTTGTTCTCAGACATTACGTTTTCCTAAGGAAATTGCCACGTAGGTTTGTCGCATGCACAATTCACAGTAGCGTTCCTGTGAGAACGCAGTGCCTCCGCTGATCCCACAGGTGGCTGGGCTCAGGCAGTGGGAGTGGTTCACCACCTTTTGTGCACCCGGATTGCTAACAGGCCAGAGACAGGTACCCGCTGGAGGCCAGTGTTTGGGGATCCCTGATCTCTTGTATATTTCAAATCACTAAACATTTGTAAAATATTTAAAATATTCTCCCCCAAGAAAGCAAGTACTTTAATTAGGTGAATTAAATCATTTATCCAAATATCAGTCTTGGCGTGGTGTTTCACCATTGAAATCCCATCAGTTTCATAGCCTCATGCCGTCAGATCACTTGAGCCCAGCAGGTCGAGACCAGCTTCGACAACATAGGGAAACCTGTGTGTATTCACACACACACACACACACACAGACACACACGCCCAGCTAAGGTTGCAAGGGCCTGTACTCCCAACTACTTGGGAAGCTGAGATGTGGCACGATCACTTGAGGCTGGCTGGAGGACACTTCAGTCCTCCTCTCAGGAACAATGAGAGAAAGAAGTCAATATTTATTTAATGCTATTAATGGAAGTACACTTTGGCTAAAGGAAATTGAAGTCTCTGGGGGAAAAAAAGGAAACAAACACACAAACAAAATCACATGTACCTCCTAAATGTATAGTTTTCAAATTAAAGTATTTAAATGCGGGCTTCCTGAGTATTGCAACTTTAGAAAATCACAATAGCTTTTGTTATCTAAGTTTTATAAACGAGTTTTTGTGAGGTTTATGGTAAAATGCAGCGTTTGTCCATGAAGTTGGTGCTTCTTTTGCTCTGTATGTTATACCTTTTTCATGTTTCAAGTAAGAAATACTAAGAAGATGTCAGCCTCTGTAAGGGTATTTCACTTGAGGTTTCAACACAGTATGTAATAAAATTTTTATCTTTTGGGCTTCCTTCTTGTTATCTGACTGTAAATAATTTTTTACCCTTTACAGCTAAATGATGGAAGTGAATCAGCCTGGCAAGCTTTTCATTGGTGGGCTAAGCAGAGAAGCCAATGAAAAGACGCTTAAAGCAGTATTTGGGAAACATGGTCCCTTGTCGGAAGGTAACTCTTAATGCCAACATATATTTCTGTATATTTTGTATTTATTTTTTACCACAGTAAACATATACTCAAAATATTTCCTTAAATTCTTAAAGTGTTTTCTTGTTTTGTTTTTTAACTGTTGTTTTGAAGTTTCTGTTTGATATTCGGATAATTCTCATGGCAGCAGCTGAAGGGTTTGTGGAAAGGGTCACCTACTACTTCAGAAGGAAAACGAGCAAAAGTAAATTATTTGTGCAGCTAGTGAGCAAAATGAAATATAATAGGCAGACTATACAGATGACTTAGTATTAAGAATCATAGTGATGATGTGAAATGCAATTTTTTTAAATTTCATGTAACTCTAAGATGTTTAGTACTATGATAAGTTAGTTATATAAATGTAAAATGTTTTCATATATTTTAGTTGTTTGGAAGAAAGATCGAAAAAACAAGTGTAGAGGCTTTGCATTTATTACGTTTGAGAACCCTGCAGATGCTAAGAATGCTGCCAAAGATATGAATGGAAAGGTAAGGGTCCCTAGTGAATAATGTTTTAACTCCGTTTTTCAATTAGCAGTATCACTAGGTCCTCTTAGTATTACTAAACTTTTGAAGATAGCAGATCGCCATATGATTTAAATGCTTTAGCCATCCTCTTCTTTCTGCCTCATAGATGCAAGTGTGTTTGAAAGCATATAGAAATAAACATTATATGAATTACTGTATGGTAATCCAGTGTCCGTGTTTGTACTTCAATACGAGTGTAAATAGATTTTCAAAAGCTTACAAAGGTTTAAAACTTAGAAAGAACCCTCAGGAATATGACAGAAAGAAGTCAATGTTTATTAAATGCTGTTAATGGAATTACTTCCAATTCCTGGAAATACTTTTGTAGCATAGACAAACTGTGGATATATACCTAGACACACTTACAAGAAAGAAATCTTCTGTAAAGAGACACCTAGACAGACTCACAAGATGGAAACATTCTTGTCCATTCTCTGAAAATATATTCTAGAGAACGTATATTTAAAGAAGACCTTTTCACTGAAGGAAGTGTTAAGAAGTTGAACATAGAAAATAATGTGAGAACGTTGAATTTGGATAACAGAACAACTGACTGCCATTTTTGCCCCATTGTTGCCCTTTTCTCCTAAGAACATTTTTAGTCTGTCACCAAAGTGATTTATGTAACATGCGTACATAATTCCTGATTTTCCCAGTGTATTGGTGGACTTGTTTTGATCCAGTCCATGGTCTCTTGTCCTACTGAATCTTAAATTTGAGGGAGTGTGTGTTTATTACAGCTTTAAACTTTTCTGTAATACTGTTAGCTACTGAATTCCTGTACGTTTTGCAGTTAAGGTCATTCCATTCTGGACCCTTTGGAGCTTTTTGTGTTTTATAACATTATCACATATCACAATCTGATTTTAGTTTCTGTTACCCTTCATGCTATCTCGAGTATGCTTTCTTGGACTTGGTGAGCATTGCTGTTCTCTGTAAATGTCTAAGAAATAATAATTTATTCTTCAAAAACACCTTAGATTTTATAGTTTCTTCCTAGGCATATATACTAGGTGTTTTGTACTCCCTGTACCATGTATTAATCTCTCGATTGTTAAATTGTCTTTAGTGCATATTTAAACTTTCCTAGTTGCTTTTATTTCTGTTACATCTAGCACACTTCCTGGTACATAGCAGACAGTATATTTTTATTCACTCTTATACTCTTGTATTTGAAGGTGTGGTAGAACATGCTTTCTGTTCATGTCATGGTGTCGGGACTGGAGATAATTTTGACTTATGTGTAGTAGTAATCTATGATAATTGTTTCCACTAGATTTTAAGCAGCAGAAGAGGTAATTTTTGTAGATGTGATTTCTAAACCCCTTCATCTCACATATTTTATTGTATAAAAATAAATATAAATGTTATATGCACATAACTATTAAGAATGGAAATAAGGAGGTACTTAGAGTTTTCAGGAGGAATGAAGAGTTTAAGAAATTTTGGCTGACCTTGGAATACTGGGAAGCAAGCAGCCAAGTGCAAATCTGGGGAAAACGTTTTTGCCGAGAAATAGCAAAAGAAGTCTCAAGGTAGGACCAACTGGCTATGTGGCTGCAAGAGATCTTGGAAGGTATTTAAGATCTTCCCTCAAATAACAAAAGCCATGTAATTTTTAAATAGAGTTCTTAGCTGAACTGTTTTCAAACATTACTTTGGCCTATAGAAAAGATAAAACTGAAGAAAGTTATTGTGAATTTAATTAGGACATTTAAGCATTTCTGAGAAATAACATGCAGTACTCTACTAAGAACTGTTTTATAGGGACACATCTAACGCCAAATAAGAAATTAGTACAGCAGAAAACATGAAGGAGACCAACTCTAGGTCACATTTAAGGAAACAGAAGTAGAGTAAATATAGAATTGTAAATCATACTGGGAGATTGTAGGTAAGTGTGAGCACAATAAATAAGAAACTGTTCAAAATGAATAACTAATGTCTTTGAATAACTAACATTACTTTTTAAAATGACACATTCTTTTATATGCACTTGAAACACTGAAGCTTTTAAATAAGTGAAGTGGGTGCAAAGGTGAAGTAAATTATGTATTGTAAAGAACAGATGTGCTACATTGTCTGACTGAATGTGTGATGGGTTAATTTTTTTGAGGTGTTATTTTTTAATACTGGAGGCTTTTCAAGGAATTTGAATAATAGAATTTGTGTTTATCCCTTCATGGAAGGCATGAGCTCAGCAAATTGTGAAGGACGTGATAATTTCAGGAAAAAATAAAAAGAAAAGAAAAATGTTTGTGTTCAGTGAAAACATGTAGAACTGAAATATAGTTGATGTAAAATGTTTGTAAAATGTGTTTAGGTTAAATGTGACAACTATTGATAGTATACTTTATTCTTTCAGTTTTTGTATGGAAAAGCAATAAAAGTAGAACAAGCCAACAAACCATCCTTTCAAAGTGGTGGTACGCGGAGAATACCACCTCCTTCAAGACACAGAAGCCCCTTGGGAAGTCTGAGATCTACAAGAAGTAGTGGAGGAACAAGAGGGCGGCATCACTCACGTGGAGGACACTTGGGTAATGTTTTAAAACATAAAGATGGAACCATAGGACTGAAAGACAGTGTTGGAAGATGTAGAAATTTCTCAATTTTATTTACTTCCTAGGAAAAGTAAATTCTTGTTAATAAGCAAAATCATTTGTAAATACTAAAGATGTATTATAAGAAAGATTGAACTAATATCTAAAATTTGTTTTAAAATCTTAATTACTTTGCTTGGGAATAATGTAAATTTCTAACTGAATTGAGTTTATGAATGCTGATTGTCTGTACTCAGCAGGTTTTCTGCAGAACTCATTCACATTCATAATACTTTAGAGTTTCTACTTTGGGGCCCCGTAATTCATAGATACTGCATTGTCAAAATACAGTGAAATCTTGAAAACCTTCCAAAAGGACATTAGAAACTCAGTATTTTAGGATTGCTTTCACAACATTTATTTTTCTGTGTATACACGTAGACACATGGATGCAAATATTTTGATAGGGATAATTTGCATAGTGGCCTGCCATAAAGCATTTTCCACTTAAGGGATGTGGAACGTTAATTATTCAAAAGAGTCTGTGACTCAGGAAATATCTAAGTTTAAGTCTTTCTTGAACTTCAAAATCCTACTCTTGGCCGGGCGCGGTGGCTCACGCCTGTAATCTCAGCAGCGCTTTGGGAAGCCAAGGCAGGTGGATCACGAGGTCAGGATATTGTGACCATCCTGGCTAACCCAGTGAAACCCCGTCTCTACTAAAAATACAAAAAATTAGCCAGGCGTGGCAGCGGGCACCTGTAGTCCCAGCTACTCGAGAGACTGAGGCAGTAGAATGGCATGAACCCAGGAGGCAGAGCTTGCAGTGAGCAGAGATCATGCCACTGCACTCCAGCCTGGGGAACAAAGCAAGACTCCGTCTCCAAAAAAAAAGAAAGAAAGAAAAAAGAAAAAATCCTATTCTGACACTTCTTTTAAATAAAACCTTTTGACTATTGCAGGCCTAATGAATATCCTGACAACAAAGGCAGAGGAAAGCAGATATTTCCTAATAGTACTTTAACTGATTCATGCTTTAGTGGTATCAGTAAAAATGTTGAAATAGGTCAACATACCTTCTATTATTTTATCATCACCGCAGGGACCTCTCGTGGTGCACCACGTGAGCGAGGGCCTCGGATGATGTAGGTGGAAGGAGGCACCACGTTATAACAGTATACGAGATAGACATGGCAGAAGTCTGAGAGTTACTCAAGGAGCCATGGTGATTTCTGTTCCAGTGGTGGTGAGCATGGTGGAAGAAGGGAACGGCGCACCACCCTCCTTGTGAAGCACATTGTAGCTCAAGTTACAGGGCTTCTATAAGTTGTGTTAGGGAAAGCCGATCTGAAGGAGGAAATGGAAGTAGATATTTAAAATAATAGTTCTTGCATATCAATTCTTGCTCACATATCGAAAATTAAAATGGTGTTTCAGCATTATTACCTGAGTACCACTATAAGAAATAGGTTTGTTTTTTATACCTTGTAAGGAGAGGTAGATACTGATTTCTTCCATGAGTTTTTTGAGGTATTCTGAATAAAAGGAATTTTTTCAAAGTAATTTTATAATTTTGAATGCTATTTGAAAACTGTCTGTTTAGATGTAATATCTGTAACTCAGTATTTTTTTTTTTTTTGAGGCAGAGTCTGGCTCTGTTGCCCAGGCTGGGATGCAGTGGGGTGATCTTGGCTGACTTCAAGCTCCGTCTCCTGGGTTCATGCCTTTCTCTTGCCTCATCTTCCCAAGTAGCTGGGACTACAGGTGCCCGCCACCACACCTGGCTAATCTTTTTGTATTTTTAGTAGAGATGGGGTTTCACCATGTTAGCCAGGATGGTCTCCATCTCCTGACCTCGTGATCCTCCTGCCTCGGCCTCCCTGTAGTGGGACAGGCCGCAGGCATAACCTCTGAGATACCAAGTTGTAGAAGGAAGGGCTTTATTCAGCTGGGAGCATCGGCAAGCGACCGTCTCAAAATCCAAGCTCCCTGAGTGCACAATTTCTGTCCCTTTTAAGAGCTCACAACACTAAAGATTTCCCAGGAGAGGGTCGTGATTGATTTGAGCAAGCAAGGGGTATGTGACAGGGGTTGCATGCACCGGTGGTCAGAGAGAAACAAAACAGGGCTGGGAGTTTCACTGCGTTCTTTTACATAATGTCAGGAACATCAGTCATAAGTTGATTTTTAACTATTAGGTTTAGGCCGGGCAAACCCGGCCAGGCTGCCTGTCTTTAGTTTTGCTTCATTGTTTCTATTATTAATTTTTTAAAGAACAAGTGCTGAGGATACAACATTGTGAGAGGGTCTTTTTCTTTCCTCAATTCCCCCCTTTGAGACTTTCACTCATTTTATTAGTGGGAGCTCTCACTCTCATTATTTATGTTTTCCTGTGTAATAGATTGATAGTGATTTATATAGTACGCTTGTGCTGAAGCATTTTGGTGAACTAAAGTAGCGACGAAGCTTTTTATCATTTGGAGAAGTATAGGTATCAGACACGGGAGCAGTAAGCAGATTCCTGTTAGTATTATTATTCCTATTATAAGAGTTTTAAATCATCCTATTGCTGGAAACCAATTTCCAAACATGGCTTCCAGATTAAATCCATGCCACATTTGCATGGGTACATGTGCCAGTTGTGTAACTATATCTTCGGCTACCTGCCCCGATCATCTATGTGTAGACAACCTGCCCCTGATCATCTATGTGTAGACAACCTGCCCGTGATCATCTGTGTGTAGACAACAATTAGTAAGGTTGAATTTTCCACAAACTCCTCCTTCAGCTGCGAGCAAGTAGTCAAGAACTAGTCTATTTTGATAGATAGCATTTCTCATTAGAGTTTCTTACTGGGCAAGAATAGTCAAGGTTTGACCGGTTTTATTATTAATAATTTCTAAAACAGCTTGTAACCGTATGATTCAGTTGAGCATGTAGATGGGGGTCTGATATCCCCATGAGTCATCTTGAGCCCACGTGGCGGGGCCATAGTATTGTATGATTCTTTCTGGGGGCCATTCATCATCTTTCCAGTTACTTATGGCTCTGCTCCATTTTTTGTGGGAAGCATAAACTGGGAAGCCCAGGAGTTCACCTGTTTTTATGGGCAGTAAGAAGAAAGATGGCTTAATGCTACCAATTACACAGCTACCTGTCCACTGATCAGGCAGCTTAGCATAAGCTCTGTGTCCCCGTATCCAGTATAACCGCCGTCCAGTCTTGGTGGAATTCTGGGTGGGCCCAAACAGTCTGCAACTTTGGAAGTTTACTGAATGGATTTCTTTCTGTGTAGTTGGAACTCCACCGTGTAACTGTCTTTGTGGTACCATTATACAGCTTTTGCCCAAGACAAGTCAGCCGCCCTACGGATGAGTGAATCCCTTTCCTTCTCTAGCTATGCAATACTGTCTAATAATTGAGGTTTTTAGAACCCAAAAATTGTTAGGGTGGTTCTTCTGGGCTGGGAACTCATCAGGAACTGGGTCTGTAGGAACTAATTCTCGGGCTTCCCATGGCCAGTGATCTCCTGTTACGGTTCCTCCACAAACATAACATGAAGTGACATTTAGAGACTGGGCTACATGCTCAGCTACTTGCAAAAACAAATTTTTAGTTTTTCCTGGAATCTCAGGTACTGGCACATTTAGTTCATCATAGAAAGTCTGAAATACTGGTTCTGGGGAGCATCTTTGAATATCTCCTTTTATTAGGAGGCTTACGCTAGGATCTACTCCTTTCCCATCAATGCCTCATGTTGCATATTTTCCCTGATTCCATTCTGGGTCTGAGGGGTTTGTGATGATCAATTCTAAAGGATTGCAGCCCCCACTCATCCAGGAGGGGCTGGCTTTTCCTTTTTGGAGGAGCCAAACAGGACCTTTTCCATCTTCTTTCCAGGTAGCCCAAATGACACAAGACCAGTACTGACACATGTCATGTGAATATGATTCTTGACAGATATACTTATTTTCTGCTGTGTAACTTTTTCCCCAATCTAGAGAACGGCATCCTATCCCGTGCAGCTTATTATTAATAGTGGCACAGGCATCAAATTTTAAGGTTACATTTTTGAGGACCCCCCTTTCTTCTGTTTTAACTATTATTTTACTTGTGTCTTTTAGGAAAGGACCAGTCCTTAGTCTTATTTCAAAGACTGTGATCATGGGAGGTTGAGAGGGGTCCATGTTATAAGGAAAATAAGTCCCACGACAATTTTCCTCATGCTTCGGCCATGCGTAGACCAGTCAGCTTCCGGGAGTGACTGGAGCAGGGCTTGTCGTTTTCCTCAGGGTCACTTTGCAGTGATTGTCCAGGCTTGGTTTGACCTCCCAGGTCTCAGCTGCTGCAGGCTTCACACGACTATGGTGACTCCAGGCTGGGATTCCTTCCACCTTTACAGCTGTGGGAGTGGTCGGGACAACAGTCTGGGGTCCCTTCCACTGTGGCCGCAATGGAGTCACGTTCCAGTCCTTGATCCACACATGGTCACCTGGAGAAAAAGGGTGAACTGCGGAGAATAAGCTGACTGGGCACCTCTGATTTACCCAAGCTGAGATAGTCTGGGCAATTTTCCCCAAAGCCAGTAGCTGCCGCTGTAATTCAATCTCACCTAACTCTTGGGGAGTACCCGGAAGTCCTCGCAGTATAGGAGGAGGCCTGTGATATAGAATTTCATAAGGGGAGTATCCTGTTTTCTTAGAGGGGTACACCTAATTTTAAACAATACTGTAGAAAGGGCTTGTATCCGTTTTAATCCTGTCTCCTGACATACTTTCCCTAGACTATTTTTGATAGTTTGATTCATTTGCTCTACCTTTCCGGAACTCTGAGGTCGATAAGCAGCATGTAACTTCCAAGTGATTCCTAATATCTTTGCCGTCTTCTGTGCCAAGTCAGCCACAAATGCTGGCCCACTATCTGAGCCAATTCATAGGGGCAGTCCAAACCTAGGGATGAGATCTCGAAGAAGCACACAGGTTACTTCATGAGCTTTTTCGGTTCATGTTGGATAAGCCTCCACCCACCCAGAGTAAGTACACACTAGAACCAGTAAATACTTGTTACCTCTGCATTTAGGCATCTCTGTGAAGTCTACCTGAAGATCTTCAAAAGGAGCTGCTCCATAGGCTTGTATGCCGGGAGGCACAGAGGGGCCTTGTTTTGCACTGTGTTGTCGACAGGTAACGCATCGCTGAGCCACTGTTTTAACAAGAGCTGGCAAGTGTGAGATGTAGAAATACCGGCCTAACAGCTTTTTGAGTGATTCTTGGCCTAGATGGGTAGTTTCATGTACAGCCAGCACGACTGCAGCTCCTAACGGCTGTGGCACAGCTATTCTTCCATCTGGCAACTTTATCCATCCTTCCTTTATTGTTTGTCCTCCCTCTGTTTGAAGAAAGTCTTTTTCCTCTTTAGAATAAGTTGGCACCAGGTCAAGCATTTGAGGGAGTAGTGGGGCTGTGACTGACGCCCGGTAAGGAGTAGATGCTGCTTTTTGTGCCTCTGTGTCTGCTCAGGAGTTTCCTTGGCTCACTGAGGTGGAAACCCGCTGGTGTCCCCTGCAATGCATGACTGCCACCCTTTGTGGTTTCCACACTGCTTCTAATAATTGTAGAATTTCTTGTTGATATTTTATGTCTTTTCCCCCAGAATTTAACAGGCTTTTTTGTTTATATAATGCTCCATGTACTTGAAGGGTTAGAAAGGCATATCGAGAATCAGTATAGATATTTACAGTCTTACCTTCACTGAGTTCCAAAGCCCGAGTAAGACCAATGAGTTCTGCTTTTTGGGCCGAAGTGCCCTGAGGCAATGGCTTAGCTTCAACAACGTCATCCAAAGTTAGTACTGCATATCCTGCACACCTTTCTCCTTGCGAGTCGATGAAGCTGCTCCCGTCCACATATAATTCCCAGTCTACCGATGCCCACGGCTGGTCTCGAAGATCTGGTTGGCTAGAATAGACAGAGTCCAACACCTCTACACAGTTATGTTCAATAGGGCTGTCAGATACCGGGAGCAAGGTGACAGGATTTAAAGTGTTACAGACTTCAATGGTTATGTGGGAGTTTTCACGTAACAAGCCTTGGTACTTAGTTAATCTGGCATTTGTTAGCCAATGGTGTCCTCTGGTATTCATTAAGGTTGCCACCGCATGGGGGGCTTTTATATTTAAGTTCTGTCCAAGGGTTAGTTTATCCGCTTCTTGTGCTAACAGGGCCGTTGCTGCCAAGGCTCTTAGACATGGAGACCAGCCTTTAGAAACCCCATCTAATTGTTTTGAGAGGTAGGCCACTGGTCTTGGCCAGGGCCCCACAGTTTGAGTTAAAACTCCCACTGCCATTTTTTCTCTTTCTGACACATAGAGCGTGAAAAGTTTTGTCAAATCTGGTAATCCTAAAGCTGGGGCCAACATAAGTTTTTCTTTTAACTTATGAAAGGCTTGCTGTTGTAGAGTCCGCCATTCAAAGGGCTCTCTGTCGCCCCCCCTTTGTAACTCCATACAGTGGTTTAGCTAGCACTGCAAAGTTTGGGATCCATAATCTGTAAAATCCCACAGCCCCTAAAAATTGTCTTACTTGCTTCCGGGTTTTAGGTTCCGGTAGGCTGCAGATGACCCGCTTTCTTTCTGACCCTAGGCTGTGCTCCCCTTTTTGAATAGTGAATCCTAGGTAGCATACCTGTTGTCTGCAGATATGAGCTTTCTTCCTGGACACCTTATACCTACAGTCCTCCAGGTGCCGAAGCAGGGCATCTGTCCCTTTTGCACACCCGACTGCCATGGAGTGTCCTAGCAGAAGGTTGTCTACGTACTGGAGCAGGGTGCAGCCTAGGTCTTCAGCAGGAAACTTCTGGAGATCCCGAGCCGACGCTTCCCCAAAGATGGTGCGGGAATTTCTGAACCCCTGGGGAAGCCGAGTGCAAGTGTACTGAGTGGTGACACCTGACCCTGGATCTCCCCACTGCAAGGCAAACAGCTTTTGGCTCTCAGGAGCTAGCCTGATGCTAAGGAAGGCATCTTTCAAGTCCAGGCAAGTAAACCAGCCGTCCTCAGCTGGCAGCAATCCTAACAGTGTGTATGGGTTAGGAACTGCTGGGTGCAGAGTCACTGTAACTTGGTTTACCAAGCGTAAGTCCTATACAGGTCGATAGTCTTTGGTCCTTGGTTTAGGGACAGGTAGGAGGGGGGTGTTCCATGGAGACTGGCAAGGAACTATAATCCCGAAGCCTTTTAAGTGTTTAAGATGAGCCTGTATTCCTATAAGGGCTTCCCTGGGAACCGGATACTGCTTTTGTCTGAGTGGCTGGGCCCCAGGCTTAACTTCTGTGAGTATGTTTGGGGCTTGATTGATTGCCAGCCCCAGAGGATTGTCCTCTGCCCATACTCGGGGCCATCGCTCAGCTAGAGCTGGTGTTATTTCCTGGCCTGACTGGGTTAGGAAAAGTCTCCACTCTTCTTTGCGGGGTACTGTAAGGGCCATGATGACTGCCGTTTCTGGTAACTCCAGCTGTGAAGAGCCCTGTTTTGTAAAGGAAATATTGGCTCTCATCTTGCTAAGCAAGTCTCTTCCCAACAAAGGCAATGGGCAGTCAGGCATATACAGAAATTGGTGAGTCACTTTATGCCCTCCTACCGAGCAGGTCTATGGTTGTAGAAAGCCTGCTTGGCGGACACTCATGTTGCTCCAATTATATCAATGGTCTTTTTAGATAAGATAGCCACTGGGGTGGTTACTACTGAGTGTTCAGCTCCGGCATAGACCAAAAACTTAATGTCCTTGCCCCCTATTGTTATCCTGACCATGGGCTCCTTGCGGGACATTTGAGCCCGGTCCCCTTCAGTCTAGCAGCCCTTCAGCTAGATTGAACAAAATTCCTTCATCTTTGTTTGAGGTCTTTTGCTCTGCATCAGTCTGTTTTTCTCTTGGTTAGGGACATTTGTTTTCCCAGTGTCCTGTTTCTTTACGATAGGCACACTGGTCACATTGCAGACGTGAGTGATTGGACTGGGCATTCCTTCTGGAACCCCCCTTTTCTGGCCCTTTCTGGGGGATCTCTTTAATTGCCGCAGCCAGCAAATCAGCGTTTCGCCTGGCCTGGCGGCTTGTTGCATCTCTATTTACAAATACTTGATTAGCTATTTCCAGTAGCTGTGAGGTATTCATTCCTGCAAGCCCAGCCTGTTTTTGCAATTTTCTCTGGATATCTTCCACTCTAACTAAAGCCATATTAATCATACGCTTGTTTTCAGGACTATTCGGATCCAAAGGAGTGTACATACATACAGTAAGCTTTACAGAGTCTGTCATAGAACTGGGCTGGACTTTCCTCCTTTCCTTGGATGACTTCAGAAACTTTATTTACGTTAGTAACCTTTTGAGCCCCTTTTCTTAACCCTGCAGTTAATGCCTCCTGGTATTGTTTTAGCCTCTCCATATCTGGTCCTTCATTTGGGTCCCATTGAGGGTCCGTTCCTGGCAGCTGAATTCTTAAATATTCCTGAGGATTTTGATAATCAACTGGGATGTGCTCCTCTAGTCATTTAGCTGCTGCCTGCAGCACCCTTCGTCTTTCACCTGTGTTAAAGAGGTACATGAGTAGCGGGTGGCAATCAGCCCAAGTAGGATTATGAGTCTGGATAATTGTTTGGAGCAAGTCAATTAGAGCTTGAGGCTTTTCAGTGTAAGATGGAGTGTTATTTTTCCAGTTGAGGAGGTCAGCAGAGGTGAAAGGGTGATACACAAAGGCACGCCTTTCCACTATGTGTCCGTCCTCATCTACCCGGTATATCGCTGCTCTCTTAGGGGCCTTTGGATTCCAGTCTTGGGCTGTAAGCAGGCTGCCAAGGGAGGAGTTTTTCCTGCAGCTTCACTTTCTTTTTTGTCTACTCTGGATGGTCTAGGGGGCTTCAGGTTCAGGAGAAGGGGGCCTCCCCGCTTGATAAGCGGGGGTGGGGGGCACAGTTGGTGCCATCTCTTGCCATGAGTCCTCGGGCTCTGAGTCAGACAGAACTTTAGGAACCGGCTTCCTTTGTCCGGTGGAGCGAGAACCTTCCTTAACCAACTGTCCCTTTGCTACTGGTAGTGCTGCTGCCTGCCCCCTTAACAACTGCGGGGGATCTAAAACTAGCTGTTACCAGGAATCTATATATGGAAATTGATCTGGGTGTCCAGGCTTGCCTGTTACTTTGTGCCATACTTTTGAAACTAAAGACCTGTCTAAGCTTCCTTCTGATGGCCAGCCTACACCTAATGCTGGCCAGTCTATTTCACACAAAGTTCTAAGTTTTCCTGAAGTCATAGTGACTCCATAGTCTCCACTGAATCTTCTCTTGAAAGTTTTTAGCATAGTTCCCAATGGGGTGGGCTTGCTTTGTGCCTGACCCATGTTCTCCAGGACAAAATACCACACTCTCACCAGAAACACTCACCACAAAACAAAGAACGGGTAAAAAGGGCACACACACACTTTTATCGTTTATACCAAACCAAAATCAGAACACCACAAAATTCAAAATCCGAGCACCAAGAGATTTAAGCCAAGTCAAAACCAAATCCAAAGTATCCAGCAATTCAAGTCAAGACAAAACCAGAACAAAAGTGCCAATCCAGGCACACCGTGGGTGATCAGGCCACGCTTCCACTCAGATGGAGTGGGGCAAGTTCCAAAGACTAGTCTTACCAAGTTTCAGATGTCCGGACTCCAAGTGCCAGTTCCTTCCCAGTGTTCAGCCACTGCGTTAATCCTCCTTGGGGGCCTGCCGTGCACTGCTCTGGTGAGGCGTTCCACTGGGGCAATTGCCTATGGGAGCGCTCTTTGGATGGTGTCACTCAGGCTGGCCGGAGTCCCCCACAGGGATGCTCCATAGGGCAGGCCTAAGCCGCCTAAGGGACTGCCTTGGCCATCGGTCAGTTACCTCGCTTCCTGGTCAGGGAGCCAAGAAATGTAGCAGGACGCGCGGCAGGCAAGACCTCTCAGACATCAAGTTGTAGAAGGAAGGGCTTTATTCAGCTGGGAGCATCGGCAAGCGACCGTCTCAAAATCCAAGCTCCCTGAGTGCACAATTTCTGTCCCTTTTAAGAGCTCACAACACTAAAGATTTCCCAGGAGAGGGTCGTGATTGATTTGAGCAAGCAAGGGGTACGTGACAGGGGTTGCATGCACCGGTGGTCAGAGAGAAACAAAACAGGGCTGGGAGTTTCACTGCGTTCTTTTACATAATGTCAGGAACATCAGTCATAAGTTGATTTTTAACTATTAGGTTTAGGCCGGGCAAACCCGGCCAGGCTGTCTGTCTTTAGTTTTGCTTCATTGTTTTTATTATTAATTTTTTAAAGAACAGGTGCTGAGGATACAACATTGTGAGAGGGTCTTTTTCTTTCCTCATCCCAAAGTGCTGGGATGACAGGTGTGAGCCACCACGCCCGGCCGTAACTCAGTATTTTAGGATTGATTTAACTATATTTGTTTTTCTGTGTATACATGTGCAAGCATCTATGCAAATCTATTTTATTTTTCATTTCATATGGAGAATTTGCAGATTGGCCTGTCATATAGCATCTGCCATTTAAGGAATGTAGAACTCTAATTTCTTCAGAGAGTCTGTGACTCAGGAAAAGTCTAAAAATCACTGCACTGCTTCACAAATAAGTATGTAACTTTCTTTGCTGGAGGATGAGTCACTGTAAATGGTGTTTGTGATTGATTTACTCGATAGGAATGAGGGGTCAAATTTTACTTAAGAAAACCAAAGCAAACCATGCATTAAAATATACCTGTTAGGTAAATTGTATTATCTCTTAACATTTCATTTGGAGTTTGAACAACTAGATGTGTGATTCATTAGAGATGTTTGCTCAAGTTGAAATTGCAGCATATGATTCATTCTAAGAGACAGAGCTTTGTGTCTTTTTTGATCCAATTGATCTTGCTCTGCCATGTATGAGAATATCCCTGTTATTACATGTGACACCACCAGGGAATTGGAATCTGTCTATCCATCCATCTATCTATCTATCTATCGCTTGATCGATTGTAATATTTTTCATTATTTAATGTGCAGTTCTTAAAGGTTACTATAATTGAGCATAGCCCAAGCTGAAAATTGCTATTAAATAAGGGAAATTTAAGAATTCTAAATTATGTTAACAAGTTTCAGAGACCATGTATTTTTCTAAGGTGTCACTTTTTGATTCTGTAATTATTTGAGTTCCTTTGAGTGGAATTTAATTTTACGATATGTTTTGATGAAGCTTTCTTCATGCCCGAATGATATGAGTAGCCATTTATCACTGATATCCTAATATGTTTTTCTTGATCTAGATTATGTTTAGAAATTTGACTTGTAGATTTCTGCTCTCTCTTCACTCTCCACGTATCCCACATCTCTCTCTCACACCAATGTATAATGATTTCTGATTATTTTTGTGGATTTTCTAAATGGACTTTTATTGCTTGAATTAAAGTAATTTCATATAGAAACACTAAAGTTTATTAGTTTAGAGAATTGTGCAATTTTACGATTATAATGTGCAGGAAATATTTATACACATCTAAAATTTAGCCATTTAAGAAACAGTGATGTTTCTCAACTAAAAAGATTTTGTATGAAACACAGGTGATGGCGGATACACTCTTAATCTCCACATGAGTTCTTCTAGGGGAACGTTTGGAGTTAAAAGAGGTCCATATTCAAGAATTGGAAGTCCTCCTCCTAAAAAATCTGCTCCTTCAACTGTGGCAAGAAGCAATGATGGGATGGGAGGCCAAGGTAAATGCTACCTGAGAGCCAGACCGTAGTTTTTGTATGACTGAAAATGAACTATTTATCTGAATGCTTAAGATTGAGGAACATATTAGAATTGACACATACATGGGCCTATTTATTGATTGATAGCTTTTATTTTAGTTTGAATCTCACTAGGCGAATTTCAGATTTATGGTGAAGAAATATTTGACCTTCTAACTGCAGATCAAAGAAATGATTACAAAGAGGCAAACGCTCCATTTAATGCTTTGTTTGCTAGAAAATTCCTTTTAATTGTTCTTAAAGTTCCTGGCAGTATTCTTTGATAGGAGGCTTCTTAATCTAAGGAATCCTTCCATATCCTACGTCCCTTTGTATTTGACCCTGGTGTTCCAACCTAAAAATTGCATGTTCAGTTTTTTTTGTCAGGTTGGAGTCTTGCTCTCACCAGGCCAGACTGCAATGGTGAGATGATGGCTTACTACAGCCTTATATTCCTGAGCTCATGCAATCCTCCTGTTTCAGCCTCCTGAGTTTCTGTGGCTCATGGCATATACCACCACACATATCCAATTTTTCTTTCCCTATTTTTGTAGAGACAGGATCTCAGTACATTGTCATAGCTGACAGTAAAGCCCTGGGCTCAAGCAGTGCACCTGCCTCAGCCTTCCAGAGTGGCTCGAAGCATGAGCCACTCTGCCTGTCCATACAGTTTCTGTGACCTTGGTAATGCTTGTGTGCAAGGCATTCTTACTGGTTCTTTGAGGATACTACAAGAGCATTTAGCAGAAAAGCAGTCACTGGGCTTTAATACTATTTAACAGGGTAAGTAGGCATTGAAATGGAGACATGAAGGAGTCCAACATTTTTCACAGAAATGCAGAGTTGTGAAATTCAGGGGCTGTATATCTACCATTAAGATTGTACAGGGATGTGTACGCCTTCACACAAGTTCCTTAGTGCAGGATTTGAAATTATTTGAGGAGAGAATTTAGAGCTAAGCAATAAGAGGTGAGCAGTAGGATTGAACAGAAGTAATAATCTTGAGAAGGAGGAGAAGAGTAAGATTTCAGACTGAACAGAAGAAAGCAAGGCAAAAAAGTGACAGTTCTCAGCAAAGAAGCTTAAGCAGAACAAATTAAAATTCTTACTAAGGCGTGCATCATATTGTGGAGGAAATGGAAACCTTCCATTTTCAATTTTCCATTTTGTATTAGAGGATTGGTGAAGTTAAATAGTAATTGAGTTCACAATACATAAGCTAGCAGATTTCCACTAAAAGATTAGCCAGTGAACACATCATAGGTGAGAGACTGACCTGTAAGAAATAGCATGTGAAGAGTATATTACAGGAAAACCTGTTTTGTTTTGAATGAGGCACAATGATGTAGTGACTTTTTTACCGGTAGTTTTTATTCCATGTAAAATAAATCTTAGCCATCATTAGAAAAGCTTGAGTAGCATATTTTAATTTGTCCTCATTTAAGATAGAGCCAACCACTTAGAGATAAAGGAGAACTTTTATGTATAAATTTCACATTCGGTAGTTCACAGGTTACAGTACTTGTGTGTGTGAGATGGACTGAACAAGGTGGATAAATTTACTTTTTTCAGGTGAGATAGGATGATACATGTAAACTTTAAAATCAGTGTACATTTTGATGGTTTTACATGTTTTCCCTGTGTCATTAATAGTCATCAGTAATTCATATGGAAAGGAAAATAATAACTAGCTAGTTGTTAACAGTTAAGAATGAACTGTTACCCTGAGAATTAATGTTTAGCTTAAGCTGTGTTTAAGAAGAACTGGGCTTGCAGGAGCCAAGAGATTATACAAAGCTTTAAGCTATAATGAGGGTGTCATGAATGTCTGGTAACTCAGGGAAAGAGAAAGAGAGTCAGGGGAGAAATAATTTTTAAAGTCGTTTTAGAGAAGAAACGATAGTATTTGAAATTCTCTGTACTTTACATAATACGTAATCATGTTAAATTAAAGGTCCCATGTCACGTGGAAGAGAGAGCTACGCAGGTCCTTTACGCAGAGAGCCATTCTCCTCCTGGAGAAACGACAGTATGTCACCAAGAGATGATGCTTATGCAACTAAGGATAGGTAAAGGAAAATTGAAAAAATAGTTGATTTTTGTTGTGGTGATGAAATTCACATAACAAAATTAAACATTTGGGGGTTAACAAATAAGTGACATTTAATACATTCTGTGTTGTGCAACAACCACCTCTATTTAGTAGAAAAGCATTTTCATCACTCCAAACTACAACTACACTACCGGTTAAGCAGTCCCTTTCATTTTCTTCCTTTGCGCAGCCTCCAGGAAACACCAATCTGTGTTCTGTTTGTGAACTTACCTGTTCTGGGCATTTCCTTGTATTGGGCTCAAACACTACACGGCTTTTTCTGTCTGTCTCTTTTCTTTCTGCTGGATGCCCTGAAGGTTTATGAACATCGTAGCACTTCACCACTCCTTACACAAGCCGTTAACTCATTATTTTGTTTGGGTTGTTTCCACCGCAGTATCTCTAGGCACAAATATTAGTTTGAGTACACTTACTCAATTCTGGATATATATGTGTGGAGTTACTTGATCATATGATAATTATGTTTGTTTTCTTGAGGACCCACCACATGTGTCCATAGTAGCTGCATAATTTTCCATTCCAACAAGCACTGTTTCATGGTTCCAGTTTACCTACGTCTTCTCAAAGACTCTATATTTCTAGCTTGTTACAGTTTATAGGCATTCCAGTATGTGGGAAGCATGGTATCACATTTTGGCTTAGAAATACATTTTCTGAATCCCTAATTATGAGTATCAGTTCCACGTGCTTTTTGGGTATTTGCATATATTACATTTGGAGAAATGTCTGTTTAGATGTCTGGCCCTTTATTTATTTATTTATTTTAGTTGTAAACAGGTTATGTTTTGGATACTAGAAGTTGATCATTTGAAATTTGTTTCTTTGACTTATGCAAGCAGAAATCATCCAGGTTTTCGAGACACCAGGTGTTATGCTCCACCACGTAAAGACTATGCATGGTGTGATTATGGTCGTTCTCGCCGTGATGAACATTCCTCTAGAGGATACGGGTACTATATAACATTTTCTGGTTTTGTTCAATATATATCTTAAACTGTTCATTCTGACACTAACAAAGTATTGTGTGTGTGTGTGTGTGTGTGTTTTGTAGTGAACATGATGGCCGTGGTAGAGATGATTCAGAACCAAGTGGATGTTCTTACAGAGAGGCATATCAGAGTTATTGTAACAGTCCAGGTATGTTTTGTAAATTATAGGATTATATTTAGTAGACCAGATCATTGTTGTAACAAAATTTTATGGAAAATTACAAAGGAAAAACATAACATGTTTAAATATTGGGAAATGTTAACACTATAAAGCCTATGGATCTATATGAAGGTTAGAACTTCAATTCATTTACAGAAAATGTGACTCAACCTTTATTTTAGAATAAAGTTTCTTAAGCTTCCAAATACTACTCTGACACTTCTTTCAAATGAAACATTTTGGCTATTGCAGTCACAATTAATATCCTGTCAACAGAGGCAGAGGAACGCAGATGTTTCCAAATAGAACTTTAACTGGTTTCTGGTTTAGTGATACCAGTAAAAATGTTTAAATGTAGTTTAACATAAGTGCTATTATTTTATCAACCCTGCAGGGACCTCTCGTGGTGCACCACCTGCACCAGCTCCTCGTATGACTTTTGGTGGAAGCAGTCGCCATGATTATAACAATACACGAGATAGGTATGACAGAAGTCGGGAGAGTTACTCAAGGAGCCGTGGTGATTTCTATTCCAGTGGTCGTGAGCACAGTGGCAGAAAAGAACGAACATATCCACCTTCAGTGGATAGGGTGCGCCGTGATCCTCATGAAGAATATGGGAGCTCAAGTTACAGGGCTTCTAGAAAAGATGTTGGGGGAAGACGATCTGAAAAAGGAGACTGAAGCAGATATTTAAAATAATAGCTCTTGCATACCAAACCTTCCTTGGTTATCGAAAATTAAAATGTTGTTTCTGCATTATTACCGGAGTACCATTACTAGAAACAGGTTAGTTTTGTGGGGAGAGGTAGATATTAACTTCCTCCATGAATTTTTTGAGCTGAAAAGGAATTTTTTTTCAAAATAATTTCATTATTTTTAATACTGTTTGAAAGCTATCTATTTAGGTGTAATGTGTGTAGTAAAATTTTCAGAATAAACCTATACATGGAATGCAGAATGCCTGATTTTATTGCTACACATGCTGAAAAGCAAATTCAATAGGAGAGTAAATTGTGTTGTTTGTAAAAAAATGCCTTTGTTGGTTTGCACATAAATACGTACAGAAGTAGGCACATGTGAAGTCTCCCTTGGAAGCTGCATAAGTTTCCTAATTAGGCTGTGTTTCTTTTTTAAAAACTTATCAGCTTCAGCTGGGCAAGGTGGTTCACACCTGTAATCTCTTCTCTTTGGGGGACCTAGTAGATGAATCACAAATTCAAGTTTCAGAAGCCTTCAGAAACTGTCTGCCTCACGCTGAAATGTTTATCCTTTGGAGGAATAGTAAAGGTCAAAAAATAATACTTAGATATTGTTGAAACTAGAGTTTAAAACATCCATTCTTCTTGAAGCATTCTGTGACTGAAGCGGGACAGTGGTAATGAAAACATACTTTCCACGGAAATCAAAACTGAACCGGCTAAGTTTCTAGGTACATAGCGTAATGAAATTAAATGGTCCTAGTTTACATAGTGAAAAATGAGTGTTTAGTTTTGGGAGGTACTCACATTAATATTGTCTTCAAATATTTGGCAATGGATGTTGTAAGCAGTGTTTTAGCAATATATTCTTACAAATAGGAATAATCTAGGAGGGTTGCAAATTTACTTTTTTTTTTTTTTTTTTTTGAGACAGAGTATAGCTTTATCATAACCTAAGCCATGGTCCAGTGACTGGACCTTGGCTCACTGCAACCTCCCTCTTCTAGGTTCAAGCTATTCTCCTTTCTCAGCATCCCGAGTAACTGGCATTGAAGGTGTGTGCCACCACAGCTGGCTGAAATTTTGTATTTTTAGTACAGACAACATTTGATTATGTTGGCCAGGCTTCTCTAAAAATCCTGATCCACCCTCTTCTGCCTCTCAAAGTGCTAGGATTACAAGCAGGAGCCACCACGCCAAGCCTATCAGATATCATTGAAGATATGAATAGGAATACTTTAAACCATATGCTTTTTGGAGAGTTAAGTGTATAAAACAACGGCATAAAATTTCAGATAGGGGATGGCTTAAATATTTAATAAATTATCTGATGACAAAAATACAAAGAATAGGAGTCACGTAAGTAAACCATTTAACTTTCCTGAACATGCAACTTACAGAATGGAATATATGAAGTTCCATAAGTTTTATAGCCCATAATTCTTCAGTTAGCAAAATAATCTGCAAGGAGGAAGCACTTTCATGAGAAAATGTTGACAGGATCATCAATGTTTAAAGGAAAAGGCTGCAAATAATTTTAAAGGAGAAGTTACCAACTTTGATTTTCAAGTGAGTTATTTATGTTACGAAGTTATGTTTTCCTTCACCTATAACGTAGGACTGTGAGGATTAAATGGAAAGATAAAACTCTCTAGTATCTTCACAGTGGCATCATAAGAAATAGTGTCTTTCAAGATGTGATGGTTCAGTTCTTTAATTCCAGCATTTTTGGAGTCCAAAGCGGGCATAGCTCAGGAGTTTGAGACAAGCCTTGGCAACATGGAGAAATCTTGTCCCTATAAAATAGACAAAAAATTGCTGGATGTGGTAGGGCATCCATGCAGTCCCCCTCGTTTGGAACTGAGGATCACTTGTGACCATGAGGACAAGGCTGCTGTGAGCATGTTTGCTCCACTGCATTTTCACCTGGGTGACAAAGTGAGACCCTGTCAAAAACAAAACAAACAAACAAACAAACAACAACAAAAAAAAACAAAGTGTCTATGATACTCTGGGAATTTTTAACCTAAATTATCACCATGAGCCATTCTGTCATAATGATTTAAAGGAGTGGGGAACTGAAGCGTAACCTGTAAGATACAATTTGTATCTTGGAATAGGGGAATAGGAATATTCCCTTGGAATAGGGGCTCTGTTTCTGCAGGTTACAGTAAATGGTGAAAAGCCTTTATTTAACAAGAGCTAAAGCCTGATTGCTTAATTTTCTTAGGAAAGTTATGCTTTTAAATGAATAATAGGGTACATTTTATGATCTGTGGTCACTAGGATTGTTACGAGAAAATACCTGGACTTGGTGGTTTATAACAAACATTTCTTGTTATCTTAGAGCCTGAAAAGCCCAAGATGATGGCATCAGCAAATATAGTATTCTGGCAAGGGCCCACTTCGTGGATTTTAAGCAGCCGTCTTGCTGAGTCTACACATGGTAGAAGGGGCTTGGAACTCTTGAGTTGCTTATAGGAGAGTATTAATAACATTTATGAGGGTGCTGTCTTCCTGACTTGATCAGTTGCAATCAAAGGCCCTGTTCCCCATCCAGAGGTCAGCCAACTGACATTTCTCTATGTTGAGATTAATGTATATATTTTAGATGATGGAGTGAGGATGGCAGTGATGATTGAATGAATTCCCTGGTTTGCCGTTCTTAGTGTCTCCGCTGTTACCATCAGGTATTAACAGCGTGAAGATGATTTTCTTAAATGTTGGTACTGAGTCATCCAGCTTCAGATTACAAGGTTTGCGGACAATTGGGCAGTTTTAGATTTCAGTGTTGCTAAATCATGAAAGGGGGACACAGTATTGAAGTTTGAGTTTGGAGCGTTGTAGCAATATATTGAATAAAACAAGAATTGAAATGTAGACTAATAAAACTTGTAAGATATCGCATGTGGATGTTCTATAGTTTTCCATTGAAGCATAATTCTCTTGACTCTTATTCACAGTTACTTCTCTTGACTCTTATTCACAAAGGAAGCCTGGTCTTACTAGTTTTGTCATTATTTATCTAAATGCAGTAAGAGTGGTCATTGACCACAAAGGCCTTTATTTATTTATTTCTTTATGTATTCATTATTCCTTTTTAAATTAGAAAGAGTGTCTGACTCATTGCAGCCTCTACCTCCTGGGCTCAAGTGGTCCTCCTACCTCAACCTCTGGAGTCACTGAGACCACAGGCACACACCATCATGGCTGGCTAATTTTGTATGTTTGCTTGTTTGTTTTTGTCTACTGTGTTGCACCATGTTGCCTAGGCTAGATGTGAACTCCTCTGCTCAAGTGTTCCTTCCACCTTGGCCTGTGGGAGTGCTGGTATTACAGGTGAGAGCCACCATTCCTGGCCACAGAGGCCTCTCCAGTTTGCCTTGTGAGAACTTTCTTTTCTTTTTTTTTTCCTTTCTCTGTGTTGAGCTTAATGTATATTTTAGATGGTAGAGTGAGGATGGCAGTGATGATCTGAATGAATTCCCTGGAGTGCAGTGGCTCAATCTCAGCTCACTACAAGCTCTGCCTCCCAGGTTCATGCCATACTTCTGCTTCAGCCTCCTGAGTGCCTGGGATTACAGGCGCCCGGCTAATTTTTTTTTGTATTTTTAGTAGAGACGGGGTTTCACCCTGTTAGCCAGGATGTTCTTGATCTCCTGACCTCATGATCCACCCGCCTTGGCCTGGGAACTTTCTATAATTAGTCTCAGATTATATTTTGTAAAGCCTTGAGACTAGATGCTAAGCCAGGAACTTCTCACCAGGCTTTTCTGTGAGAACTCGTACATTGGGTTGAATTCCTCTCCTCTCAGCATCCCGAAATATCATGAGTTTCCAGAACTGCCCAGAAGTGACCTGTCTTTCTCATCTCTTAGGCTAGGAACTCTGTAACCAATTACGAGGCTGCTTTTCCCAAGAGGGCTTTGTAAGTATTGTCCCGACAGTCACCTTTAGTTTTTAATGCTGCCTGGTTATATTTGATTCCACAGAAATCATTCTTAAATGTGTTTGATATTTCAGACAAGGCTTGGCAATAAAACCAGTTTCCAATAACATTCAATTCAAAAAAGAACACTTTTTTACTGAACAGCAGAAATGCCTCTATTGTTACAAAAAATGCTTTTAAAATATTAAATGTCCAGTGAATGTAATGCAGCTCAATTAGTGAATTGGTAAATCTAAGAAGAATCCAAATGTGTTCTCCTTTTTAAGGTTTTTTGTTTGTTTGTTTGTTTGTTTGTTTGTTTTCACCGACACGGTCACCCTCCTTCACCCAAGCTGGAGTGCAGTGGTAAGATCTCAGCTCAGTGCAACACCTGCCTCCTGGGATAAAGCAATTTTCCTGCCTCGACCTTCTGTGTAGCTGGGATTACAGGTGTGCACCACCATTCCTGGCTGACTTTTGTATTTCTAGGAGAGATGGAGTTTTGCTGTATTGGCCAGGCTTCTCTGGTCTCAAACTCCTGAATTCAGATGATCCACCTGCCTTGGCCTCCCAAAGTGCAGGGATTACAGGCATGAGCCACCATGCCTGACCCACAAATGTATTCTTGCACTTGATAATAACAACAACTCGTAATATGTGTCTGTGTGCAATAAACCATTTTAAACTAATCTCATTTACTAAATATTTGCATGAGTCATGTGAACTTGGTCATCTATTTCTGGGATTTTTAAGAGTGTGTAATTCACAATAATGCTCACTTGCCTCTAAGCCAATTAATATGGTACCCTTTTAAGTGATATTCAAAATTAACTGGGTGATCACATCCAGAGGTAGTAATATATCACACACACACAGTGTATATGCAAAAAAATACAGATAGTGGAAAACAGATTTTACAGCTCTCCTAAAATTTAGTCATGAAGTAAGCAATAGGGTAATATAAATCTTACTGGTTTATATCCATTTTATATTTAATCTGAATTGTGCTTCCAGAAAAATGAGACAAGGTTACCTATTCAATAGGAGGTCTAATACGTTTTGTCTGTACTGGTAAAGAAGAATTTTCTGAGATTATTTTGCCATAGTATTTAATCTAGTGAGTCAGAGGACTGCATTTTACTTAAAACTGATACATCCAGTGACAGTCTGGATGACTCCAAAAACTGGCTAATTAAAATGCTCATTCTCTTCTAATTAGCCATTTTTCTTTCTGCTTCAGTTAGGTAATTTTTTGGAGGGTGGGGAAGATCCTGGAGTCCCTCAAGAGCCTCTGATTTAGAAAGCCTAAATTTCTCGTGACTATAGTGG